CTCCCGCCCCCGGCGCTGCGGGCCGGCTGGCGGCCGGGACTGGCACCCCTGCGGAGCTCGCTGTTTGTTTAGGGCTCGGCGAGCCCAATCAGGGCCGGCTGCCTGCAGTTTTCCGGCAGGGCTGCGAGAGGCGCCTCCTCTCTCCTTTTTATACATCCCCCGCCGGCAGCACCCGCCGGACTCGCCGCCGCCGCTCGCCCCCGCCGCACTGGATTTACCGCCCGACGCGGCCCCCGGCCCCATGCGGGGCACCGGCAGCAGCAGGTTTGGCCCTTTGGCTTCTCGTTCCCATTCCCCCGCCCCGATATCCCTTCTTTTTTTTTATTATTTTTTTTATTTCCTTTCCCCTCTCTGTCTCTCCGCCGCTCCGGGAGGCGAGCGGCGCGGCTGCGCCTGGCTGGGGGAGCCCGAGGGAGACTTTTGTGGGCAAACATCCGATGCCTGGAGCCCTTATCTGCCGGGAGTCTTATCTCCCAGTTATCTCGCAGGAGGGAGAGACGTGTTTGGTGCCTATCTGCGAGGGGGCTGTGTGTGTGTGCGTGTGTGTGTGTGTCCTGTATTCATGTGCCCACGGTTATCTGGAGAGCCCCGAGGTGGGCTGAGAGCCTCGCTGCCCGCTTCTCTTGCTGTCATTTCTCCCGCTCCCCTTTCGCTTTCCGCCCCTTCTCCCGGAGGCTGAGCACCGCGGGATCTGTGTCCGTCTGTCTGTCTGTCTCTTCGGCCACTCTCTGGGATGCCCCCGGGCTCGATGCGGGTCCCGTCCCGCAAAGGTGTGCTCGGGCTTCGGGGGTGGGGGGGATAGGGCGTGGGGCAGCCAGGGCTACCGGCTGGCACTGACCCCTGCGACGGGCACAGCCCGGTCCCGGCGCCGCCGGGCACACGTCGGGGCCCGGCCCGTGCGCATCTCACGGCTCCCGGGTGCCTTTCCTTCCTCCTCTTCCTCCTCCTCCTCCTCCTCCCTTTTCGTGACCTTGGGCTGGAAACAAGCAAACAAGCGAGGCGATGCGCGGAAAAGCTAACACCGCTCTCCGGAGAAGTAACCTTAAAGGGATCGCCTCGCTAATTGTTTTCTCCGTGGAACCGAGTCAAAATGACTCATTCATTGAAATAATCATAATAATAACAGCAGCAGCAGCAGCCAAGGAAGGGGCTTTGGCGCGGCCCGGGGAAAAATGCCCCTTTCCCCTCCCCGTTCCCCTCTATCCCCGCTCCCTCTCGCCCACCTTCCCCACGGCGTGCTTCGCGTTCAAACCCGCAGCCCAGGATGCGGAGGGAGAGGGGAGCAGCCCGGGGGGCGGTGCGGGGAGCGAGGCCGGAGCCCGCAGCCCTGTCCCCCCGGCCCGTGTTGACCTGGGCTGCCTGATCCCATTCCGCCGGGGCGAGGGACAACAGCGCCGAGGCGACATGACTGATTAAGCGCTCAGAGGGGCCAGATAAGCCCTGATGAATCTCATTAAGGGAGGGAGACGGGCTGTCCTGTTTGCTAACTTTGTTATTATTATTTCTCTCCCCCCTAGAAGGGGACCTGGATGGCCGTGGCTGAAGGCGGCTGGTGCGCGGTGAAGCGGTGCGCTGCGGACGCCGGCGGTTCCTCCTGCCCTTTCGCCACCAGGGAGCCGGGCCCGTCTCCTCCTTCGCCCTCCTCCTCCTCTTCCTCCTCCTCCGGCGGCTCCCAGGGCGAGCGCAGCTCCTCCAAGACTCCTCAACCGGAGCCCGACGGCAGCCACCGGCCGGCCCCACCGCCGCCGCCCCCCGCCGCCGCCGCCACCGAGGGCAGGTCGCTGCTCGCCCCCTACGTGCACTTCGGGGCCCCCCACCCCTCCGGGCTGCCCAACTGGGAGGACATCCTGCTCTTCGCGGATTTAGACCAAACCAACAAGCTGATCTGGTCCAGCCGCGGCTCCAAGCTGAGCGCCCTCGGCGCCGAGCAGCCCGAGGAGATGTACCAGACCCTGGCCATCTCGGCCGCCCAAGGCCCCACGCCGTACGACGGATCTCCGGGCGGCTTCATGCACTCCACGCCTAGCTCGCCCGTCTACGTGCCCACCACCCGCGTGGGCTCCATGCTGCCCACCCTGCCCTACCTGCAGGGCAGCGGGGGGGCTCAGCCCAGCCACCCGGGAGGCGGCCACGCCGTCTGGTCCCAACCGGCGGCGGAGAGCCCCTCATACAGCACCGGCGGCGGCTCCCACCCCTCCGGCCGCTTCCCCTACTCCCCCAGCCCGCCGGTGGCCAACGGGGCCTCCCGGGAGCCCGGCGCCTACAGCAACAGCCTGGGGGCCAGGGACCAGTACAGCCCCCTGGCCCGGCCGCTCAATGGCTCCTACCCGGGGCCCTACACCTCCTACGTGGGGCCGCAGCTCACCCCCGCCTGGCCCACGGCGCCTTTCGAGAACTCCATGCTGCACTGCCTCCAGGGCCGGGCCGCCCCTATCCCCGTCCGGGCACCCAGCGCAGGTAGGACCCTCCGCCGGGGGGATTTTGGGCAGGGCAGGGTTGGGAAGGGGTTGCCCGCTGGCCAGACCCCCGGGGGGCGAGGGGAGGCGACGGCGGGACCTGCCCCGTGATGCGGGGTTGGCCCCGGGGTTGGCCCCGGGGTTGGCGGTGCGGTGCTTAGTGGCAGGACGGCGATCCCGGGAAAAGTGGCTTTTCTGGAGTTGGAGGTGGCTCTCGTCGTTTGCCTTGGCTGGTTGGGGGGGGGGGGGGGAAACACACCCCCCAAAAACCGGCGGTGTTTGGAGTACGGCACTGGGGGTTGCAAACCCGCCGTTCCCAAAACGAATCGCCCGGTGTAAACCTCGCTTTTATGTTGCCCTACATTTCTGCTTTTCCGAAACGCAGTAATCTGGCCACGAAATGGTGACAAATTCACCGCGAATTAACCTTTCTTGTAGCGTAGAGGAAAATTGCAGAGGCTGCCTTATCCCCGTTTGGATTATTTCAACTACAAACCACTTCGTTAAACGAGAAAAGCAGCGAAGCAAAACCTCTGATATGAACGAGAAATCCCTTTTATAAACTGTTGTTAAAATGTGGCACCTCCTGATGGGATTTTACTTTCACTTCCGAGGTGTTCCATCTTTTTTTTTCCTCTTTTTTTTTCTTTTTTTTTTTTTTTTTAATTTAGGAAATTCTTTGTGTCATTAAATAATTGTAGAGGTTGAGACTGAGCTGCCATGATTTAGAGGTAGAAAGATTAACGATTATTGCAGTCTCTTTAGCTTTAGAATATATGTATGTATATATAAATACAGATGCATAGAGAGGTGTGTGTGTGGGTATGTGTATATATATGTATATTTATATATATTTATGTCTATTTATATATATATTTATGTGTATACGTGTATGTATACACACGCGCGCACACACATTTGATCAGCGTTTGCTTTAATCATAAACTACCCACCAGGTAGGTATATTTTATATACACTTGCGATTTTCTCTTTCAGTGCAGTGTTGCAGAACTTTTCATCTTTCCGTAGGGGTGTACACGGTGCTCCTCCTGTCTCTCGATGATACCCGGTAGATTTAGGCATTTTAAGCCTCCCACTCGGTGTTTACTAACGTGACAGAGGGAAGAAGACTCAGTTGTAGTGGCTGGTAGAAGGGCAGAGCGGAGCTGAGAAGCCGGGTCTGAGGGCGACACGAAAGTTGAGGGTTTTAACTCGATTTACGAAAGTTACAGTGTAAAACTAGGTGATGGAGGGGGAAAAAAGAAAAAAAAAGAAGTGGTTTTGGGGTTTTTTTTTGTTTGTGGTTTTTTTCCTGGGGTTTTTTCTTTTTTTTTCTTTTTTCTTTTTTCTTTTTTTTCCGGCGAGAGGTGGGGTTGGAGAATCTCACGGAAGGGAGAGGAAAGGGGTGTGTGGGGGGGAAGAGGGGCAGAAGAGGGAAGGAGCAGGGTGCTGGATGGAGGAGGCTGGGGCGGGAGCGAGTGCCAAGCCAGCCGGGGAGGGGGGCACGGCGGCTGCCCCCGGTCCCGGGGGTCTCTCGCCCTCCCGTGGGTCTCTCTGCCTTTCCCGTGCCTTCCCCGCCTTTCCCTGGACGGTGCCTCCGGTGCCCATCGCCGGGAAGCGGCGGGGCGGGCAGGGGTTAGCCCTTTCGGCGAGGGGAAGGACGAGGGAGAGCCGGGGGGAGCCCCGCACCGCCTTGTAACGTGGGGCGAAGCGGCCCGGGGCTCCCGGCCCACGCGAGTTTTCCGCTCCCACTGGGCAAAATGCGGCAGCGAAGGCGAAGCCACGCGTGTTCCCCTTTCAAATGATCCCGCCGGCGGGCAGGAGCTGCACATTGTGGCCGCAATATGTTTTTTGTAGCAAAATATCAGACAATTTGATGCAGCTTTCTTAGTGTTATTGGTAGAGTTACTAAAAGCAATATCTAAAATTAAAACTTTGCGTTGCTTTTTCTTGGAGATAAATATAATATTTTTTTTTTCTTGGAGATAAATATATTTCTCACGCACCGAGGGAAAAATATTTTATAATGCCCGAGAACTATGGTCACGGCAGAATTTCTTTCTGCAGGCACGAAGGTAGTGTTATAAAGTAAATAGCTGAGACAAATAACCGTTTAACTTCCAGCGTCCTTGAAGCCTTAAGCGTTTTCCTGGTTACAGCCTTCAATGGCGCTTTGGGTGCAAAGATTAATAAATCTTAGCCATGTGCTAAGAGCTACAAGCTGGCGACGTGAGCTGAACTGTGCTCTCTGGACTCTGCCGTGTCCCCGTTCCTGTTTAGCGCCTAATAATTTGCAAAGGAAGGGAGGAGAGAAATGTATTTCGGTGGGTGCGGGCCAAAAAGGCCGTTTCTTCCCTCAGCTCAATGCCCGCCGTGTCCTTGCAGCCCCGTCTCCAAAGCTGCCTGACGTTTCCAAGCTCCCTTTGGCTTTCCAGGGCAAAGCTGCTAAAGCGAAACGTAAAAGAAGATCCCAGTGATGAATTTAGGCAGGTAGCGGAGGGGACGGAGGGAGTAAAAAACAAAAAAAAAACCAAATAAAAAATCAATGACAAAGCGGTGAATCTGAAACAGGCTTTCCCAGCCTGGACTCGAAAGCTGCTGCAGAAATACTAACACCCCCTTGAAGTTATTTCTGCACACCGTGGCACGGTGTATGTAAAATCCGTATTCATTTTTTTCCCCCCCGAAATATGGAGAGTCAGAACAAGAATATAAAGATTTGCAAGGGTGAAGGTGTTTGCTTTTATAGGTGGGTTCTTTTTGTGGTTTTGGTTTGGTTTGGGTTTGGTTGGTGGTTTTTTTTTTTTTTTTCCGTGCATTTAGACCCCTTTTTTTCCCCCATAGTGTGCAGTAGCTATGGGAGCAGGAGGCAGAATACCGCATATTTTCCCATTTCCTCCGTTTCCTACCAACCAGCTCGAATTTGTCCAAACAGCCGAGGCGAAGTGGTGGCAGCCCGTCGCTGCCTTGGCACACCACAGTCCCAAACGCGGGCTCTAAATTTGAAGTTTTTACTACTGGCGAGGCATTTAAAACGAGAGCCTGGGTAAAAACTCCTTGCCCAGCCTTGACCCCGGGGAATATTGGGCAAAAACCACCGCTCCTCGTATCCCGTCCCTGCGGTCCGGCTCCCAGGGTGGGCTTTGGAAGTGGGCTATTCTGGCAGGCACCTAACTCCCCCCTGCCCCCCTAAAAAGCCGAGTGACCCCCCCCCTTCTCCTCCCGCTGGGCACCACGACGGGGGGTTTCACCCCTCGGGCGGATCCAGCGCCGCTCCAGGCAGATTTCCGAAGGGCCAAATCCCGAGGTGAGGGCAGAGCTGGCCCCGGGGGTCGCCGCTCCGTCCGGCCGCTGCCCCCCGAGCCCGTCCCGGGAAGCACCGGCACCGCTCCGGTTTGGAAAGCAAAGGGGCCCGCGGCAGCGCGGCTGGTACATTTAAAGAAATTACAAAAAAAAAAAAGAAAAAAAAAAGGAAAAAAAAGAGAGAGTATTGTGTAAAAAAATCACTGCGTGGCCGCGATCGCGGCTTTTTCCAAGGAGCGACCAGCGCCGGTCGGTTTCTCGCCCGGGGCCGGTCTCCCGGCGCGGCGGGGCTGGGGTAGCCCTCGGGGGGGGCTCGGTGCCTGCCTGCCTGCCCCACCGCCTCCCTCTTCTGCTCCTGTCCCCCCCCCAGAGCTGCTGGAGGACCTGTCCGAGAGCCGGGAGTGCGTCAACTGCGGCTCCATCCAGACCCCGCTGTGGAGGAGGGACGGCACCGGCAACTACTTGTGCAACGCCTGCGGGCTCTACACCAAAATGAACGGCCTCAGCCGGCCCCTCATCAAGCCCCAGAAGAGAGTGGTGAGTGGGGATGGAGGGGAGGGATGGAGGGGGGTGAGAGGAGCTGCCCCCCAAGGGACCCCCACTCAGCCCTAGCCAGGGGGAAAGCAAAGGCAAAGTTGGGGGGACCATGTTAGCCTGTAATCCCCGCCGGCTGCAGAGCTGAAGCAGGGCTCCTGACCAGGTTTGCAGGCCAAAGGGGTCCTGATGAGGGGCGACAGGGCTGGCAGCCCCCTGGGCGCTGCCTCAGGCCCACCTCATGAGCCCCACGGTGGTGAAATCACCCTCAGCCCCTGGTGAGCCACGCGTGGGGCACGGGCTGGCCTGGCTTTTTGAGTTCACGGACCTCATCGGTGAGGGGGCATCGGCAGCTCAGGATGAATTCGTGTGGCTGATGCGGGACATTTCCAACAACAACAACAAAAATTTAAAAAAAAATCAAGGTTGGAAAGTGTTTGTTCAGAGGGCAAGGAATTTCTCCAGACCTGCTTTGTTTGCTGAGAGCTCGATCCTTGGGAATGTAAGCAAGTTTTGTATATAATTCAAAGAAAACCAATTGTTTAAACAATGATAATAGCCTTTGTTTTTTTTTTTTTTTACTCCTAAGAAATGAGCGGCAATTTTTCTAAAAATATACTCCTAAAAGTAGGGGGGGGAAATAAATAGTACAAACCAGAACCCCTGTTTATAACTCAGGCTGGCACTGAATAGGCAAGGAGAAAATTTAACAAGCGGGAACTGCACATTATGTTTAGCAAATGTGGGTGGAGGTCAGCAGGGAGAAAGAATACGCTCTTCAGTAATGGCTGTTACCGAGCGAGCCACAATAAATCACGCCGGTATAATCCAAGCTGATGTTTGGACCCTTGTGTAGGGAGACAGTCTATCAAACCCATCAGCCTTTCAAGCCCCTTTCAATCACGCCAGCTGCTTCGCTCCGTGCCTGTTTTCCTAGCGTTAAAACACGTCCCCTTCTTTATTTCACAACCCTTTGAATTTAATGCCTTTCTGAGGGGCGAACGAAAACCAAACCCGCCTTGACCAGAGCAGACAGTAAGCCTTCACGAACCAACCCCACCTCTGCTAAAAGACCTTCTTGAATTTAACGTCAAGGCAGAGGTTAATTACTACTGGGTGCCCGTTATTTCTAGCTGGTCATCCACCAAATTTCGTGACACAAGGTGTTATCTCGTTACCGGGGATAAACGCAGCAGACGGGGCAGATCTGCCGCTTGTCTCCAGTGTCAGAGCTCGACTGGCCGTGGCACCCTGGCCCCATGCAGATTTCAAGTAGCTGATACCCAGCTCTGGCATTTTTCTGTTTCTTTCTTTTTTCTTTCTTTTTTTTTTTTTTGAAGGAGGGGTGGGGGTGAGGAGATTAAACCAGAGTCAAACCGCAGCCCGATTTCAGCCTGACACCTCGGCGAAATAACTCTGAAATAGCTCTGGGTAACAGTCCCTACTGAGTACCCTGGCCATAACTATAAATCAGCCGTGACTGTGTGTTCATACAGCGGGAAATATGTAGGTGAGAAGGGAAAATGTTTTGAAAATGCTAAACATGTTTAGATTGCCCCAACGTTTCTGATAAAATTCCTGTGGCAGAAAAGTCATTTTAGCTTCAAAACATGCCAAAAAACCCCCTCGTTTGTTTAGATACAGGAATGAGCAAAAGCTATTAAAATATATGAAGATTTCTACCAGACTGCACGCAAAAGAAAGAAAGATTTAACATTTGATGATATTTCACTTGCAAAGAAAGAAAGGAAACGAAGCATATGTGTTAAGAGCAGCTTTTTTTTCACCCGATCCGTGTAAAACTTGTATTGGATGGAGGCGTGCAATTTGGACGCTGTGTGCGTACGTATTTAATAACAAGGTCAAAAATTCTGTTTTCGTGAGACCTGGATTTTTAAGATTAAAAAGTATATGTGCATGTACTTCAGCCTATATTACACTTGGCCGGGTTTCTTTTTTTTTGCTGTGCAATTAATAATGGATTACTGATTCGAAGTTACAAAATTCGTATTTAATCTAGAGTTCTTGCTGAGCTGTGGTGTAAGACAACAGCTTACTGCTAAAGAAACTCCAACAGATAAAATTCAAGAAACTGGGTTATTACTCTGGAATATTCCTCATTCTCAAAACATTTTTATTGGTTTCCCAAGTGGCAGGGAGCTCTGCGGTATCAAAGGTGACCGAGTTACGTCTAACAACCCAGCAGTAAATGATTCAAGAGGAAGGGCATTGTACCCTTAAGTTAGTAATTTCGGTTATGGGTGCTTTATAGTCAGAATAAGATTAATGCAATCCTCTAAAACTGACTTCTCCGTGTAAACTTGTTCAGCTGCCAGACGCAGAGCTAGGCACAGATTTTTTTATATTTTTTTTGACAATGCGATACTTTGAAAAAGACTGGATTTATGATGTAGCTGGAATTCTTTGCTTGTGATGAACGTAAAAGAGATCACTTGTTACAGGGACTTTTATAACCCATTCACCTTCATTTCACATGTTTATGAGGACTGCCTTCACTTATGATATACAGCCTGCAGCCATAAAGCTCTGGGTTATACGGTTATTTCTGATACAAGGTTGCTTCATCTTGGCTCCAAACTCCACGGAAGAGTGTCATAAATGGCTTGTTTGCAGTGGGGACCTTGCAGTCACCCACCAGCTTTGCTGCTGGCCGAGGGGAAGCTGTGTTCTGTAAAACATGCTCCCGAGGCACGATGTTTTTCCTGCTCGGATGAAATGGGCGATGACAAAAAGATGTTTTTACAAAGATGCTGCTGTTGTATGTGTTACCCTCCGGCACCCAGGAAAGTTTGTTTTCCAGAGCTGTGGTGCCACAGAGGGATGGTGGTTGAAGTGGCTGATTTTTCTGATGATTTGGGAGTATCGGGGGCAGGTTCAGAGCTGCCCCTTTGCCCCCCACACAGGGGAGAGGGCTTTGGACCGGCTGGAGAGGAAGCACAGGAGTGATGTGCCTTCTCCTCAGGTGGAAGGAGCTGTAGTGGAGATGTTTTCTAGCTATTCTGTTGAAGGAAGAGCCAGTGCCTAGTGATGTGAACAGAGGTCCCTGGGTCTCTCAAAATGTAAATTTTGCCTCTGTCGTGACTGCCTGGAGTTGCAGTCTCACCGTGCCTCTTCACGTCAGCTTTCCAGTCTCTGAAACTAGGATAATCTTGTTTGAAGTGTGGGACATCCCGACAGATGCCATAAAAAAACCCCTCCTACTGTCCCCACTGCCTTTTTAACTACTTTTTATAAACTGTAAAGGCATAAATCATTTTCTCCTGCCCGCCTGCTTACGCCTGTGTTTGCCTGCGCTTGCCTCTAGCCCTCGTCCCGGCGGCTGGGCTTGTCCTGTGCCAACTGCCACACCACGACCACCACCCTGTGGCGCAGGAACGCGGAGGGAGAGCCCGTCTGCAACGCCTGCGGCCTCTACATGAAGCTCCACGGGGTAAGCGGTGGCTCTGATGGTCCTTTGGGGAAGGGGTGGTCCTCCCACCGGCGGGCGCCTGGCGGCTTTGAGGGGTTGGTGGCATTGGGCTTCCTCAAGTCGAGTCCATCTTTCTGTTGACGCTGATGGTCTTGGCTCACGGTTTGGATTGTGGAGTTAAAAAAGGATGAACGTGTATAAAAATGGATAAAACGACTGAAAAATGCCTGGTATTAGAAAATGGTTATACCGTTTTAGCAATAAACAGTTTTGACAAGTTATGTGTTTGCCGCTGTAGCTCTCCCGACAGATGTGTACAAGAGACCACCGCTAGATGAGCGGCAGAGGTTTTATTTTTTTGTTGCTGGGATTTAAACCAGCTCTTCAGAGGGGAAAAAAAATCCCTAGATCTTTAATAAGACAGCTTTTCATGGACAGACATAGCTATGCCAGCAAAACTTTAAATGTAATTTCAGCCTTTGCTAGGCAATAGTAGAGGAAGAAAATAGCGCTATCTTGAATACGATGGAATATGTTTTGGGTGAGACTTGGAGCCTGTCGTGCCCGTGTGGATTGAGTTACAGTCGAGCACAAGTGTTTGAAGAGTGGGGGCATTAGGAGCGATTTGGACTTGGTCTAGTCCTCAAGAAAAAAAGTAAATTATAGCACAGGTTTAGACATCATAGCGCTAGTAAGCATATGCTTGAATTGTCTTTCCCCTAGCTCATGTTATTGTTAAGTTAAAATACATCTTAAGCCAGTGTTTTCTGTATAATGATTATCATTGTGATGACACAGGACACAAAGCTGTTTTTCGAGCACATTTTCCCTATAAATACCATAAAGTTGTATCACAGGCAGACCGCTTATAAGAACAAACACTAGGACTGGTTATGGCCTGAAGTTTCTGTCCTCAGGCACTTACAGGCGATGATCTGGTTTGTGTAGCTGCTCTACAGGAAGAGGAGTATTTTTTCCACTCTCATACATTCTTGCTTTCCAGAATCAACCACTGGAGATAATTCCTAACTGACTGGAATAAGGAAAGAGGGATCAGATATACCCCATTCAATTTAATTTTGTATGACCTATGGCCATATGATGCTGTTTTTCCCTAAAAGTATGCTGACTGAGGTGTTGGAAAAATCATTTAGTTCACAACAAGAAATAAGTTTCCCTGCTTTCTTCATTCAGCTAAAACTCTCCTTGAAACAACCCATTGTTTTGCCAAAATAAAATGCAAAGGTTTTTTGGAATCGTTACTGTGACACAGGAAAAATTGACTTGCTATACAGGCATTTTGAACATCAACTATTTGATCTTGTAGTGCATTTTAATTTTTGATATTAGAGTACATACAAAATTCCGTGATCAGTGTGGAAATTTAATTTTTTCAGGTTCCCCGACCTCTCGCTATGAAAAAAGAAGGAATTCAGACCAGGAAGCGAAAACCTAAGAACATAAATAAGTCAAAGGCATGCTCTGGTAAATATAAAAAGATAAGACAGTTGAGCTGCGAGAGTGGGGTTTTTTTTTTTTTTTTTCCCCTGGCTGGAAAATATTTGGTTTTAATACCAGTTCCCGATGTTTCAGGTAACAGTACTACTGCGGTTCCTATGACTCCAACATCCACGTCTTCTACTAACTCAGACGACTGCAGAAAAACCGCTTCTCCCAGCACACAGAGCGCAGCCTCCGGGGTAAGCCGTGAGCCCGTGTCCGTAGCTGTAAGCAGGCTGATCACTGTGCCATGTTATCGCAGCTTTTATCTTATCTAGCAGAACAATAATCTAAACAAACTTTTCAGTTTTGTTAGCTGATACTGGAACAAGATTTTCGGAGGATATTACATATAGCTGTAAACAGAGCGACAAGCTGAAGTACTTTACAAACCTCTTAATTAAGATCTATGTAATTTTTATGATTAAATTAACAATAGCTTAACCCCAGATATTTTTTTTTTTTTAAATGTTCAGGTTCTTCCATTTAAAAGGTTTTCTTTTGGAGCAAAGACAATAAATCATGCCCCATTGATTCTTTCAAGAAACAATTGTGCATGTACCTCTTCTTTTTTTTTTTTCCTGAAATTATCTGTTAAGAATTTATAATTCAAGGCACTGCTGCTCTCATGTTTTCCAAAAGCTGTTTTATATATATATGCATTTTTACACATAATCCCAAATGGCTGGTAAACCCCAGCAAAATGTTATCCTGCTGTATGAAGGGAAACACAAAGGCTTTTTCTTTAAACTAAGATGTGCAATTAAAGCCCAATCCAGATCCAGCTGAACCCAGGTTGGGATGTCCTGCTGATCACTGTCCATAGGGAATCAGCCCTCTCCTTGCAGAGGGCTCTTCAGGGGACAGATGCTCAGCATCTGGTAGCACCGAGCCCCAGAAGAGCACCAGAGGAGTGCTGGTCATCCCCTGCTTTATTTTTGATCCTTATTTTATGTCATGTGCTCAGACCATCTCAAACGTCCTTTCTTCAGTCCGTTAGCATGTGTGATAACAAATACTAACACTGAAGTTGTGAAGCTTAATGTAGATTAATTTCTAACACTTTGGCTATCCATATCCATATCCACACTCCCCCCTCAGGCCTTCTGTATCCTTTAATCTGCCACATCATTTCTTTGAAAAGCTTTCCTAATGTGGCTTTTTCTACTCCTTTATTAATAAAAAGAAGACATTGTTTATAATAACTATTTTTCAATATGTCTCAGCGTTCCCACATTCAAATTCCTTACAATAGTTTAATTTCTGATGTACAAAGTTTCATTGTACAAGAGGAGTGAAAAAAAAACATATTTAGCAAATGTGATTGTTCAGGACTGACAGGGCCACCCAGTTTCAGAGGCACTGGGTTTTGGGTTCGGATGCTGCCAGACAAGTATATTACTAAAAGGGCTTGTCTTTGACATGAGAAAACCCTGTCAGTCCAATAAAATAAACAGATCACATCAAAAAAGGGGAAACACTAACCAAAAAGTGAACTGTTACTGGGTTTCAGGCTCCCTCCAGTGAACTACTATGCACTATTTTGGGCTCTCCCGCAATATTTGCGAAGGGAAAAGTGCAGCCAAATTTTCCTTAAATTACCCTAAGCAGCAGTACCCATCCTGAGGAATGTCCTGCGATGTATATGATGGACAGAAGTAGAACCCCAGTCCCAGCTGAGGCCGAGGCAGTGGTGTAGGCTGCAGGCAGGGAAGGGGGGGCCATATAGATGAGATCCTCTTTCCCCTGTGCTGTTTGTTGTCTTGGCTGGGCTACAGCCTGCCTTCCTCTCTGTAGCCCTTCTCCCTAGGAATGCGTATCAAACCTGTTTATTAATAAGCTTTATGTTGTAATTTTAATAGTACCATTTGTAATATAATTTTTGCCCAGTGGAGTTGTGTGGGTACCAGAGGAGAGCAGGGTGGGGGCACGATTTGTGAGCCAAAGGGTTAGTTTAGAGCTGTTGGCAGCTAAGGGGGGTCCCAGGGACCCTGAGGCTGCTCTTCATTATACGATGGCATCCCCCAGTGCCAGGACTTCAGTTCTCTGATTTTTCTGTAGTCGATCAGGCTGGGCGAGGACACGTGCATGAGGACCAGGGAAATCTATCCCCTTGTACCCAACAGGCAGCACGGTAACATCTGCACAGCCTTTTCCCCACCATGATTCGATCAGATGGGCACTGCATATGCACTTGCAAATTACCCCTCGTGAAAAATTTCAATGAAAGGAGGGAGGCTGTGAAACGTGCTGAAGCGGGGAGGTTGCAGCAGTGACCAGAGGTACAGGCATCCCCCTGACTCCCCTGCACGAAGGGCTAGTGATCTCCCACCCCTGCACCCAGCCCCAAGTGTGGGAGATTGGGGCCCCCAGCCCAATCCCACCTAAATAAGGATGGGATTTGCAGGGGAGCTGTTGTCGGGACATGTCGTGGGTATGGCCACATCCTTCCCTTGGGCTCCTGCTTTTGCCCGAGCATCAGCAACTCATTGGGATGAGGCTGAAAGGAGAAAGCCATGGCTGCTAAGATTTGTTCCTGTTGCCCCAGACAAGATTTGGGAAGACGATCGCCAGCTTACAGAGAAAGTGAAATCATTGGGGATTTAGGCTTGTGGGTCTAAATCCCTTGGGAGGGGCTGAGCGTTCAAATGGGCCATTGAAGTTGTTGGGGGTGAAGGGAAGTTAGCATTTGAGAGCAAGGCAGCCTGTAATCTGATCACATGCCGAAGCAGAGATACTCTACAGGACTTCTGTTTTCCATGATTATTTTTTTCTTTTTCATTTGAGTTGACCCATTGATAGCCCAAAGGTTTGCATTTATTCTTAGAACAGGCGATGGCTTTGCACAAGGAGAATTAACTTCTCCTCCATGCCGTGTCAGAAGGGAGAAAACCCTCAGATGGATAAATCCAGGCTCTGTAATCTTTGGGCACTTTAACAAGAACAGGGTTGATTCCTGCCAGCGGCGCTGGTGACGTTGCCGAAACTGGGGCACCTGCTGGAAGAGCGAACCTGGCTCCTTCCCCGCGCGTTACACAACCAGCATGGCAACTTGTTTTTGTTTTGCTCTGTTTTCACTTCTCCAGCCCTTATTCTGTGAAGAGGGGGAAAATGCCAAATTGACATTAGGCAGAGAAATTTGATGACGTTTTAGAAACTGTTGTCTGAAATTCACAGCAATGTTGTTGCTAAATGAAACAGAGAAAATGAATTCCTCTACTGGTACAAAAGCAATTTATTATGCCTTTTATGGGAGGCTGCCAAAAGAGTTCCCAGTTATGTAGAAATCTAATGGAAATGAAATTCAGCAGAATTTGTTTGTGTCAGTAATATTCACTTTTTGCCCTACCTTTCTTTATCTCTTTTAAAGTAAAATAAAGAGGGGAGGGCAGGAAAAGCGAAGGGCAGCAATTACTCTTGGAAATGTCTTTGAGACTATCCATTTCATGAAGGGAATCTTACATGATGCCAATTTTGAGACAAATTAGCAAGAACCTTAAATGTTGATTTTATGTTCTAGCTGAAGTTTAAACATTTAAAAGATATGATTAATGAATTGCTGTGGGTGCAAAGTTGATTTCAAACATCCCAAAATGTAGAAGTGTTTGGATCAGAGATATTTCGCTGTCCCATTGTAAAGGGGCTATTTGCCAAATTCACATCTGGATCTAGGATTTAGGCCTATTTCTGTTTTCCTAAGCAGTATAAGTACTGGGTGTCCTGTGTTACTAATATGGAAAAGGTCCAGCTGCATGATATATGAAATTCCCTTACATCCCCATAAAAAGAAGATTTGAAGGTTTCAGACAGCCTGCATCTGCATCTATACCTGCTCTCCCTTTGATGCTGCTGAAACTGTACAGAGAAAAACTACACGGAATAATTTGCTAAACGAAGGGCACGGTCTGCAGTGCACACCCATCCATTTCCATGCAGGGACTCCAACTGGTGTGATTACCAGAAGGACTTTATTCCCTTATTAGGATAAAAGGCAGTATGAAAACTTCTGTAAAATCTGCTTTTTATGGCAGGACATGGAGGCTCCATGAGCCAGGGCTGATGTCAGTAAAGGCTCAGCAGCACCAGGGGAGCTCTTCTTTCAGAAGAGCTTTGCCTCCAGTTTGGAGCTTTCTCAGAAGGACAGTAATCATACACCATAGAATAACGTGGGACAGTTGTCTTGCAGGTAAAACTAGTGCTTGGAGGTTTACCTTGAGAAGTGGTTCAGGGCTGGCTCTTCAGGGTTGTAGGTTGGAAAGTGGGAGAGCTGACTGAAACGTCCTCAGCAGGTGGTAAGCTAGCAGGAATACGCAGTTCTAACTGTCCTCAAACCATCCGACAACCTGGGCTGAATTCACTGAACAGCTTCTCCTGCATTTGCTCTGTTTTGTTTTCAGAAGAGGGTTTGTGACGTGGTTAGAGGTGGTGTTCTTTGCTCCTTTTTAGGCAGTAGGTTGGTAGGACGTTCATGCAGACAACGGGGATTTGGCCTCTGTACGCTATCTCCCAGAGTCTGGATGAACCCTGAGACTCAACCTCTTAAAAAAAAATAATCTCCTAACCAACTGGATGTTGGAAAGTTGAATGGCTGAGGGTCTTCCAGATCCAATGATAAGATTTCAATTGGTATAGAATAATCTTGTAGCCATTGGGACAGCATTTTTACTAGAACGGGAGAAAGGCTTACCAGCATGGTTGGTAGGACTTTCACCTGGAAAATGGGAACACGGTGCCTCAGTCCTGGTATGAGTAAATATTTATCTAAACCAGGTGGAATAAGATCAACAGAAGGCATGAGGAACATGGCAACCTGAAATACCAAATAGTCCGGTAGTCAGGGCATTATGCTGGGCGATCTGATATTCCAGTTAAATCCTCTGTTGGTGTCCTACCTCTTCTGTATCAGTCCTCACTCCTGGACGAAGCAGGATGCTGCTTTCTTCTCCCGACTCAGCTTCATAAATTCAGTCATTTTATTTTCTTTGCTCTGTGTATGTGTATCCAAAAGAAAGCGTTTCATTCTATATCAAAGAGAACAAGGCAATTCAGCTTTTTTGTTTCAGCAGGGAAAAACCAAGAAAAAAGAGTATTTTTGGTTCTACCCAAAACTTCTACATGCATATGGACACATATATTTTGCTTGGTTTTGTTTTATTGCCAAAGCAATAAAGCCAATTACTCATACAGACCCCTCGACAGCAGAGGGGTCATCAGCTTTCCCAAGCCACGCTGGAAGTTGCCTCCCTTAGGAAATTAACAAAGTATTAACCACAGATTTATGTTACCATAATACAAAGGAGAGGTTAGTAAATATGTAGACTTACACATCTGCAATACAAACAGAAGGATCAATTTGACTAGCAAGAAATGACAACTTTGGGTAGTAAGGGGGTCACTAAATCAGAAATAAAATTTAAAAAAAGCTGTGTTTTTTCAGTTTGCTCTTCAGCAAACTTCAGAGTATCGCTCTTCAGAAACCAGGGAGTGACAGTATTGGGAGAAAGCGTTTTTGGTGGGGACAGCAGTTATTGCAGGGGGGCTGGGGGATAAAGGGCTCCAGCGCAATTTGCCACAACATGTTATATGCAAAAGAAGTTTTTGCAAGTGTGTTTCAGCTGACCAGGGTTATCATTTAAGTGCAGCGAAACTAAGCTGTGCTAACCAAAGAGGAAGAGAGCGTCAGCTGAGACTCAGCTTACTACAGACCTAGTGTAATGTCCAAAATTCGTGGAGCCTTTTGAACCTGTGAAGTGGTTGGAGCAAAGGTCTATCTGATAGCGCAAAGGTCTAGATCAAGGCCGCTCGCCACCCCCTCTGGCTGTTAACACAACTCCTTGCCCAGAGCTTTTGCTTCTCCACTGCGGAGGTGTGGGGGGAGGCTGGGTGGGTTGTCCCTCCCCTCTCCCCTCTCTCGGTGGTGGCCAGACAGTGCAGGAAGGAGTGGGTGGAAGAAAGCAGTTGTCCTGCAGCCCGAGCTGCCAGTACTGTTTCCCAAGTGCTGGCCAGCACAGGCTGAGCAGCCTAGTTCTGTTCTAGGCCGGCTTTAGTGGGGGTGAATTTGGCTCCAGGGTGCTGATGGCAGGTTTGGGTACGATGTAGGTGTCTAAGTCCCTCCATGGCTCTGGCTGAGATCTCCCTGTAAATGTGGTGGGCAGGTTCTCTATTGGAAAGACCACCTCCAGTCCAGACAACCTGCCTGGGTACTGCCCCATGACCAGCTCCTGCTGGTTTGGGTAAAAAGAAGAGCCTCTGTAGATACAAACACAACGTTTCTTTGTTTGTTTGGGAGGCAAGCTCTTCCCAATGGACTTCATTCAGTTTTTCCTCAGGAAGCCGAGCTTCACAGCTGATTATCTATCCTCTTATCAGATTTCAGCAATAAATATAAATCCTTTACCTTTTTACTGATGGAGAGAGCTGGTATGAATTAGAAGAGCTCATTGACTTCAGCAGCGTTGTTCAACTTATTTATTCCAGCTGACAAACATTCACTAATAACTAAGTGTAGCTTCTGTCATCTTTCATCCCTTGAAGCTGGAGAAGCAAGGAGCAGAGATTAGACAGGCTCAGGAGCAGAGCCGTGATTCAGCCGCAGCCCTTTCATGAGCTAAAATTTGTTTTCCATGTCTCACTTTGGGAGCTGCCCGAGCTGCCTGGATTTGTCATGACATTACCGGGGTGGGGTTTCCAGGCCCAGCGGTCCTGCCCAGGTCCTGCCTGCCCCGGCTCAATGGAGCCAGGATCCGGCCTTGGTCGGGTAGGGATGGGCAGTCTTCAAACAGGACGTGCCTCCACGTCCTCCCTTCTGGGGTGCCCGAGGGAGGGGTAGCTGATAACCCTACATGGAAACTGCAGGTCCCTGCACCCCACCTTTGTAGGTAGGGCTGAATCAGGAAAAGGGTGAATTACACTTTCCAAGCCTGGAAAAACCAGGTAGTGATAAGATATTTGCCTACCGGAACAACGGCGGCAAATATGGGCAAATGGGAACCTTTCAAAACAGCTCCCAGTATTTTTAGCTCAGGTTGAGCAAACACTGCTCAAGTCTAATTTAAACCCTTCTCCCACTGTGGGGAGACTCAAGCTGTTAAGACAATGTCTTTTGTGCTAACAGGAGTCTATTTGATGTATTAAAAAAAGCCTTTTGGAAAAACTAGCCTGATGCAAGACCAAAACGCTAGCGTGAAATCTGCCTCATTGAATTCTCTGAGCATAATCCCAGGGAAAGAGGATACGGAAATTTTTTTGTCACTTTGGCGACTGTGTATTCAAGAGAGCAATAAAACATATTTCTTAGGGCTAGCGCTATTTTCTCTGTTTTTTGGGGGCAAGAAATTGTTCTTTCCGTTTCTGGGTAGCGACTGATGGAGCAGTGGAAGAATAGCAGCGATCAAGCATTTTAATAAAAGCTAAAGAAAATATTGGAGTCAGGGTTATTTAAGACAAAAGTGACCACTGATAATGAGCACCTCTTTCACAAGGTGAGGTTTTCCCTGGGTTAAGGCACAGCGCCGTTTGGAAATTACCTTTGAATAAATGAAGCTTTACTTTTCCTATGTCAGGACTGCTAGCCTGGCACAGCTCCAGGAGAGCCAAGAGCTCTACTCTTGTAAAATGATTAAATATGTATACTTTTCACTTAAACAGCAGGCAGGAAGCTTCTGCAGTCACAGTTGAGAATAGTATTTTTTATTTTTTTCTTTTTAAGGAATCTCATCCGAAGACTATCCATTAACAAGTAAATTAAGGTTTCAAAGTTGACATATCCAAGAGTTAATTTTGCATGAAGTCAGCTCTTAAACATTTCCTTTATCAGGTGAAAATGTTGCCCCTTCTCTGTCTGGCACTGAGAATTTTTCCTCTTTAGCAGATCTGCTCAGCCTCATGGAAAAAATGATTGTTTCTTTGTCTATGTAACTCTCCATTTCTCTGTTAAAATAAATGGGCTGGTTCCAGTGTGGTTCAGAGGTTCATCTTCGTGCCTACAGGGCTCCCCTGTGGGTTGTTTTGTGTGTGCAGATGGTGGGACAAAAAAGGCTCCTGGTTCAAAGGCGTACAGTTTCTCTGCTTGAAATGAAAGGAGCATCTCCTTTAGTGGCCAGTCTTACAGAGGTGAAGTGGTTGTGGCTAGCGTTTTGAAGGGTGAGGAATGATTTCATTGCAGGGTCTGAGTGAGCCAAAGAAGGCTGATTTCCAGGAGGTGCTCTGCACCTGCTGCTGGAGGATTGGAATGTATTGGGCTTCTTCCACCAGGGTAGCAAAATTATAGGTGCCACCTCTCCCTGGTCACATTTATGGTGTTGGTATCTGGGTCCCTTCAGCAGGGGGCAGCGGGCCACATGCACGTTGCCTGCTTCATCATGGCTTGATTTCCAGATTTTTCTGCATGTCCTGTACTTTCTTTCCCACCTTGCTGTGAAGGTAACCATGTGCTGTTCTCCAAACGTGATTGTCACCCATGTCAGACCTTGCCAGCATAGTAAAGTCACTGTTTCATAAAGCGGAGAACGAACGGGCTAAACCTGAGAGATTTGTTCAGTTTCAGGATTTTAAGGCAGGGGGTAAGCAGAGGGCAAAGCCGGAGTGTGCCCGCTGTGCTCCGACCCACACCCCGGTGTGTGCAAACTCACCCCCTCAATGAAATCTCTCTTTCCTCTTCCCCCACCTCCAGGCGAGCTCGTCGGTGATGTCTGGCCCAGGAGAGAGCACCAGTCCCGAAAGCAGCAACCTTAAGTATTCAGGTCAAGACGGGCTGTACACAGGAGTCAGCCTGACCTCCACGGCCGAAGTGACGGCATCCGTGAGACAGGATCCCTGGTGTGCCCTGGCTCTGGCGTGACCCGGCGTGAGGGAAGCTGGATCCCGGCCCCGCGTGGCAGCCCCCAGGCGTCCGCGCACGCTTTCTTCTGCGGAGCAGTGGCGGTGGCAGCGAGAGTGCTGGCAAAGACCATTCCTCTGAAATCGTTTCTTGTGCCTTGGCGGCAGAGGTGTTTGTTCTTCAGCCTCCGAAAGAGGCTCTGCCGAAGCATCCAGTTCCTCATCTATGCAAGAAAAATATAGGGAAAGCAAACGTCCACTGGGGATAGCTAATGCAGCCTTACGCCCTCCAAAAAAAAAAAAAAAAAAAAAAAAAAAAAAAAAAAAAAGAAAAAAAAAA